TCTTTCTTTCTTTCTTTCTTTCTTTCTTTCTTTCTTTCTTTCTTTCTTTCTTTCTTTTCTTTCTCTCTCTTTCTTTCTTTCTTTCTTTCCTTCTTTCTTTCTTTCTTTCTTCTTTCTTTTCTTTCTTCTTTCTTGATGGAGTTTCACTCTTGTTGCTTAGGCTGGAGTGCAATGGCGCCATCTCAGCTCACTGCAGCCTCTTCCTCCTGGGTTCAAGTGATTCATCTGCCTCAGCCTCCCAAGTAACTGGGATTACATGTATGTGCCACCACACCCAGCTAATTTTGTATTTTTAGTACAGACGGGGTTGCTCCATGTTGTTCAGGCTGGTCTCGAACTCCCAACCTCAGGTGATCCTTTTGCCTTGGCCTCCCAAAGTGCTGGGATTACAGGCGTGAGCCACCACACCTGGCCTCATTTTCTTAGATATAAGCATCTTTGAACCATCTGGAATTACTTTGGTGTTGAGAGGTAGGAATCCAGCTTCTCTTTGTAAATATTTATTGAATGAATAATGAGACATTCTGCAGACCTAAGTAAAGTTGATGGCCTCCTAAGGGATTAAATGGTTAATAAAGTTGTTTGTTCACTCTACAAATATTTCTAAACCACATACCAGCATGGCAGAATGCAATGGTAAATAAAATCGGAGTTTCCACCCTGTGGCCGTTAACACTTGATGGGACAGGCAGACACTAGCCAGATACCACAAATGGATGTAAAATTTACAAATGAGATACGTGCCCTGGATAAGCACATAATTAAGGAATCTACCCTGGCCTGGGAGGCCAAGAAGGTGTTGCTGGTTAAGAAAGTTCCTTGGGAAGTGCCCTGAGGACCAGCACCTGTGAGAGGGTAACGCTAGCAGGCCTGGCTAGATGGAGGAACTGCAGTGCAGTTGCAACAAAGGACTCAGCCATTCCCACAGGGAGCTCTGGAGGGTAGATGACCCTTCAAAGTTGCACTGAATGGAGGCAAGCGGTCTGGGCTTTTATTGCCCACCGCATCTCCCTGCTCCAATGGACTAGGCAGTGGGTATAGGAGGTCCCCAGGCAGCTCCGTCAGCCAGGACATTTCCCGGAGTGAGAATCATCTATGGGCATCCATCTCCAAGTCTCCTAGCAGCCGGGGAGTGAGGGCCCTGGTCCTGAAGTGGACATCTGGGTGGCAGGTCACAGCATCCGCTACAGAAGCCTTCCATAAAGAAGTTGGGAAGACCTCGAGGACAGTAAGTGGAAGTTAACTAGGCTTGGAGAATGAAGACTTTTTCCAGGAGCAACCCGCTTTCTCTAGCACAATGCATGGCAGGCTCAGGCAGGAAAGGAGGCAGGGGGAGTAATTAGGAAGCTGCTACAGGAATTTAATACATTAAAATTTGGATATGAGCATATAAAAAATCAGACAGAAAAGGGAAGTCTCCTGCTGTCCCCAGCCCTCAGAGACAACAGCTATTACAGTTTTTTTGTTTTTGTTTTTTGAGATGGAGGCTCGCTCTGTCACCCAGGCTGAAAGGCAGTGGCAAGATCTTGGCTCACTGCAACCTCCAACTCCCAGGTTCAAGCAATTCTCCTGCTTCAGCCCCCTGAGTAGCTGGGATTACAGGTGCTTGCCAACACACCCTGCTAATTTTTTTTAAGTAGAGACAGGGTGTTGCCGTGTTGGCCAGGCTGGTCTCAAACTCCTGACCTCAAGCAATCCTCTGCCTTGGCCTCCAAAAGTGCTGGGATGACAGGCATGAGCCAACATGCCAGCCTACGGCATTTCTTTTCCATCTTTCTTCTCTGCACATTTTATTTAAAAGTGAGGATTTTATTGTAGATGTGATTTGGTTTTCTGCTTTTTTTTACACATTTTTTCTATACCTTTACTGTTTCTAATCACAAAAGCAATGCCTGCCAATTACATAAACTCAGAAAGTACACATTTTGATAAAGAAATAAACAATACTTCCTACCAGGCAGGTAGGAAGTATTGTAGTCATGCCTGTAATCTGGCATCCCACAGGTGCCAGAGCTCACGTGTTCATGGGCCAGCTCAGTGCCTGGCATGCTGAGAATATTTGGGAAATGCCAGCTATGCACTGTCACCTCAGGAGGGTCTCTTCTCATTTCCAAAGCTGTCTTCTGCTTAGTGAAATGCACAAAGACACTGGGCAAGTATGTATTGAGCTCCTAATCTCCCAGACACCAGAGACCATCCATAGACTGACTGCGTTCTCTGCCCTTGTGCTGCAGTCCCCTTGAGATAACGATGGTGACATGTAAGGAGCTAAAATGTCCTGAGCTGTGAGGAGGCAAGCTCAGGCTGAAGGATGGAGGCAACAGGGTAGGGGCAGGTGGGGTGACCAGGATGTCTGGAGCCCAGGGCTGGGGCCGGACCCTGCACTGCTCTGCTTGGGGACCTCACTGGGCTCTGAGTCATGAGGGCAGACAGTGGCCAGGGTGAGGGGGCACAGTGCAGCCCTTTCCCCTCTGCTGAAGACGCTGCCTTCATGGGGTGGGAGCACAGGCTTTGGGGACTTGAGAGCCATCCTCATCCCAGGGGTGGCTGTTTCTGGAAACAAAAATCCAGGGCTTATGCTCCTGGGACTGGGGAGCCCTGGGGCAGCATGTCCTTCCCGTGGCCTTCGCATTGGGCAGTGAAGGCGTCTTCCTGCTGAGTCTGAGAGAGAAAGAAGTGGGGTCACTCAGGGGTCAGCTTTCATCTCACTTAGTCCTCACAGTGGCCCTGCGAGGTAAGGACTGCCAGCAGCCCAACTTACAGATGAGGACACTGAGGCTCAGAGAAGTTCCATGGCTTGCCCAAAGGCACACAGCTACTAAGTGGCTGAGTGGGATTGAACCCAGGTCTTTCTGAGACAGCCCAAGCTGTTGATGGAATGCTCTGGCTCACGGATGAGCAGGTAAAGTGGAGCAAACACTTTAGAAAGATTTGGCAATATTCACCAAAGCTAGACATTTGCCTCCCATGAGCTAGCAATATCCTCCCTGCGAATGTACTTTACACAGATGTGTCTATATCTTCACTAAAATACAAGTGAAACAACCCTCATAGCAGCACAATTTTTAATAACCTCAAACTAGAAACTTCCCAAATAGCCATCACAGAAGAATGGATTAAAAACCATGGTGCATTCAAGACTAGAATACGATACAGCAAAGAAAATGAATACATTATGCCTACACATGCAAATGAATCTCACACACCTCATGTATGAGTGACAAAAGTTAGACTTATAAGGAATAGATAATGTGTGATTCCATTTATATGAAGTTATCACCAGACAAACTCATCTCAGTAATAGAGTTTACCTGGGGCTGGGGTACAGGGATTTGAGCCTTCTGTGGGGCCTCAAATGTATGTAGGGAATCAGTTTCACCATCTCCCACAGATATCAAAATCCACAGATGCTCAAGTCCTGATATAAAATGGTGCAGTATTTGCATATAACCTAAGTACATCTTCTCGTATACTTTAAATCATCTCTGGATTACTTATGCAATCACATGCAAATAGCATGGACAATGACACTTCAGTCCATGCTAGAATGCATATAGGATGGTGGTCCCATAAGGTTATAATGGAGCTGCCGTATACAGGTGTACAATCTCTAAAAGCTGATATTTAAGAATAGATGGGGTGGCCAGGTGCCGTGGCTCATGCCTGTAATCCCAGCACTTTGGGAGGCTGAAGTGGGCAGATCACCAGATCAGGAGATTGAGACCATATTGGCTAACACAGTAAAACCCTGTCTCTACTAAAAATACAAAAAATTAGCCAGGCATGGTGGCATTCACCTATAGTCTCAGCTACTCAGGAGGCTGAGGCAGAAGAATCGCTTGAATCTGGGAGGCGGAGGTTGCAGTGAGCCGAGATTGCACTACTGCACTCCAATCTGGGTGACAGAGCAAGACTGCCTAAAAAAATAAAAAAAAATAAAAAATAAAAAATAAAAAAGTAGAGATGGGGTTTTGTTATGTTGCCCAGAATAGTCTAGAACTCCTGGGCCCAGGTGATCCTCCCAACTTGGCCTCCCAGAGTGCTGAGATTATAGTCATGAACCTCCACACCTGGCCAGGTGTACCATTTTTGTTGTTTATACTGTATTTTTAGGATCCTTTTCTGTGTTTACACAGATAGCCAACATTATGTTCCCATTGTCTGCAGTACTCAGTACGGTAACATGCTGCGGAGGTGTGGAGCCCAGGAGCAATCAGCTCTACCCTTCAGCCCAGGTGTGTGTTTGGCGGGACCATCTGGAGGAAGCCGAGAAGACATGAGCTGAAGGCAGAGGGTGAGTCCGAGGTGGGATCTTGGGGCAGGTGTGAGAAGTTGGGCAAAAACGGGTGAAATCTGAATAAATGTCACCATATTCGTATAATTACTACATTAATAACCTTAGATAATGGTTCACATTATCATTTAGTTAATAGAATTGCACCCACATTAGCTTCCTTTTTTTTTTTTAAATATAAAGTCTCCCTCTGTCACTTAGGCTGGAGTGCAGTCTGTGATTGATCATGGCTCACTGCTTCCTGGAACTCAGGCTCAGGCAATCTTCCCACCTCAGCCGCCTGACTAGCTGGGACTATAGGCACACACCACCATGCCTGGCTAATTTCTTTTACTTTTCTCTAGAGACAGGGTCTACCTAAGTTGTCCAGGCTGATCTCAAACTCCTGGCCTCAGGTGAACCTGAACCTCTCACCTCCACCTCCCAAATTGCTGGGATTACAGTCATGAGCCACCACACCAGGCCTAAATTTCTTTCTTTTGACAAATGTGCCACGGTAATGCAAAATGTCATTACTTGGGGCAGCTGGATGGAAGATATATGTGCAAAATCTTTTCAACAGTAAACGTTAATTTTACAACGTGAAGGTGGTTATCCTTCTATGAGTATAAAGTTCAATGGTAGGCTCACGGGGTCTTCAGGAGTCAGAACACTGGTTTCAGGGCTGGGGGCACGGGGAGGGGCTGGGCATGGTTGACTTTGTGATCTGGGGGCTGATGTGTTCCATCTCTGAATGATTTTTGAGCTGTGCATTTGTCGAGGATGGAAGTCATATCTCAATAAATGCTCAGAAGTTCACCAAAAAGTAAAACAAGGATGGGAAGCTTGTTTGGGACCTCAAGTGCTTATCCAGCCATGAGCCCTGGCCCAGATGCTTCTAGAAGCCTGGAGGGAACCAAGAACATTCCAAGTAGAGGTGGCAGAGCCAAGGCCCTGAGGTGGGAGCACGCTGCTGCTCGTCCCTCACTGTGAATGGGGTGTCCTGGTGGGAATCAGTGTCGTGCGCATTGCAGCGCCGGCAAGTTCATGTCCACATTGTGGCTCAGTGCAGTGAAAGCCAATCTCAGCCCCTCCGCAGGGCAGTCAGCCTGCCAGCGGGTGGCCAGCTGGTCCTCCTGGGAAATGGTGCCATCCCAAGGACTGGGTGCGAGTCTGTCATCAGCAGTGGTGTCAGCCTGGTGAGCCTTGGTAAGGGCAGGTGCAGGATGCTGAGCCTCTTCCATCCCCATGCCTGTCTCAAGGCCACTTCTTCCGTGGGCCCATCCAGCAAACGAGGTGGCCGGGAAAGAAGGCGGCTCCATCCACAGGGCGTGCTGTTTTACTCACCTCAGGACCAAGAGCATCCTCCATAGTACTTCTCTTTGGGGAGTACTAGGAAAGCCTGCAGCTGGAAGGCACCTGGTGGTGGCGAAGCCGCAGCAGTGGCTGCAAGGCTTTGGGACTGGTCTGGCTTCTGTGACGGTGACAGAGCTCTCCAGTGCCATCACTTCAGTTGAGGTGATTTTTATCTTTCAGAGGACATTCGACAATCTCTGGAGATATTTTTGATTGTCACAGCTTGGAAGGTGCTGCTGGCATCTAGTGGGTGGAGACCTGGATGCTGCTAACCCTTCTACTATGCACAGGACAGTCCCCACAGCAAATGATTCTGCCCAAACTTCAGTAGCGCTGCTGTTGAGAAACTGATTCCAGTGGAAGAGACAGGCACATAAACACATGACAGAGAATGCAGAGGGGAATTACCTGGCAGGTGGAACGTGAGCTTGGTAGGGAGCGGGCAAGGTGGGGAACTCACAGTTACTGACTCACCAGCTCTACTGGGCACTGTCCTAAGTGGGAAAATATTTTGATTATGTGTATTTGTGCAAGATATTACACGAAATCTTTAAACTGGCACTGGAAAGGATAGCTATTATCTCAACCTATAAATGCACAAATCAGAGTTTTGAGTGTTTAAATAATATACCTGAGGTCACATAGAAAGTTGTGAGCTGGGTCCGGGCATGGTTACTCATGGGTGTAATCCCAGCACTTGGGGAGATGGAGGCAGGAAGATTGCTTGAGCCTGGTAGTGGGCAAAGAAGTGAGACCTCGTCTCTAAAAATAAAGTTGTAAGCTAGGACTGATGTTACCATTTGAAATATGTTGGATCAAAGAATTTGCATGATCAATAGACAAATTTTAATTCCCAGAGGAATAAGGAAATAAGAAAACTGAAAGTGCTAAAAAAAGAAGCCCGTGAGCTCCATCTCATCGTGGGGTTTGGGCTCGCTAGGAAAGGGACGCAGGAAGCAGAGAGAGCAGCTGACAGATTGGGAGGAGATGTGAAAAGTTCAAGAGTCTGGATGTCTTAGATGAGATACATGCATTAAAAAGAAAACCAACGATGACAAAAATGAGTCTAGATACCTCGACGAGTTCCTCAGTAGAAATCACAGAGAAAAGGAACTAAAAAAGGAAGCCATGGGCCAGACATGGAGTATTACAATTGAAGACTTCTAGTGTGGAGCAGCACAGTTACGGGTGTGGACAAGTGAATGCCTTGGAGTAGAGAGCAGAAAACACTGTTGCGTGGAACATGGCCACACCATACCTTGGCGTGATCTCAGGTGTTGGATAGGTTGGCTGTAGATACTTGGTGAATGTGGGAGAAGGGCCTAGAGGTCTGTGGATGATAGAAACTGAGAAACAGAATGTAGAATGTCGGCTTGTGAGAGGAAGGGTTTGGAGTAACAGGAGAGCAGTCATTGAGTGTGTGAGGAGCTAGGAGAACTTAGAAGTCTTCCTTCTCCTAGAGCAGTCTCTATCTGAAAAGCCATCAGGGAGGTAGGTTATTGAGAAAATAGTTTTGCTGCCTATGATTAGAATGTGATTATAAAAGAAACATGGAGAGAATGTTTTCTAGTAGAAAGAAGGTTCCAGGGAAATGAGAGGAACCTAGAAATGTTCAATAGTAGTGTCACGAGTTCATAGAAAACAGGAAGCAAGCTGGGTATGCGCGTTTAGAGGTGGTGTACATTTTCAGTGTTATAAATAGATAGAGATGAGTGGAAATAGTTACCTTGTTCCATAGGTTTTTGGTGTCTTAACTAGTTATGGATCTCTGTTGAAAGCTGTTAGGAAAAAGAGTACTGCAGGCAAACTGCCTGGGTTTGAATTTTATTCTGTTCCTTTCGACCTGCATGGGTTCAAATCCTAGCTCTACTTATTAAGTTGTTTTAAGTTGATGATCTTTGAACAAATGTCTTAGCTTCTGTTTGCCCATGTAAATGGACACAAGAGTTGTTATCTTGTGAAAGAAGTTAATTCATGTAATTGACCAGCATTTACCAAGAAGCATCAGTGTACAATTTTAGTCATTGGTAATTGACCAGCTGGACTGTGAGAGGGGTGTGTGTGTGTGTGTGTGTGTGTGTGTGTGTGTAGCACTGCAGAAAGGAAAAGAGAGTTTTTATAACCTAGAGGCAGGTTTTCTCTGCTTTTGTGTCAAGAGGGGAGAAGGAATTTTGGAGGATATGAATTCTGTTTAATACTAAGCTCTCTTCCTCAAAGCCAGAGGCAGATAGAATGTGTAATAACATAGAATTTCTTGACTTAATCTGATTTTTAAAAAAATGTTTTCATTTTTTCAGGTTGAGGCTGAGCTAAAGTTTATCTGTTAAGCTGGAATGCAGTGGTGCAATGTCGGCTCACTGCAACCTTGGTCTCCTGGGTTCAAGCAAATCTTGTGCCTCAGCCTCCCAAGAAGCTGGCATTATAGGTGTGTGCTACCACACCTGGCTAATTTTTGTATTTTTAGTAGAGATGGAATTTCACCATGTTGGCTGGGCTGGTCTCTAAATTCTGACTTCAGGTAATCCACCCTCTTTGGCCTCCCAAAGCTGGGATTACAGGCGTGAGCCACCATGCCCAGACAGAGTCCAAACTTTTCTATTATAAAATGTAGGTTCTGTCCTAGAAGGGAAAATGTAAGATTAAAAGTTGACCTTTTTAGAATCATGAATTTTTTCTATGTAGGTTTTCAACTTTTATTTCAGAATGATTGTTTAATGTTTGAAGGATAATGTTGGAAAAAAGAGATGGTCAGGCTATTATAAAAATGCGTTAGCTTTTGCTTTACTTATGTTCTCTTGCTTTTGTGGGGCCTATCCCTTTTTCCTCTCCCTAATTGCCATATATTTCACAGTGCTGTGTCAATGTTTTAAGTAGAAATTTTATTTCATAATTAATAAACTCCCATGCCATTCCTTGGAACCACTTTCTTGTTTAATTTTAGTCTGTGACCATTCTGCTGATTTTTAGAGGCTCCCCAGTTAATTTCTGTGGGATTTTTACTCATATTTTGAATATAAAATGTCTGAGAAAACAAAAGTCAAACATTCCTGAGAGCATTTAAAATTATTGAAGTGCACCTGCTAATTGTTAACATATATTTTTGTCACATATTTTAGATTATAAAGAACTTTAGCTTATTTTCCTTTAAAAATTATTGTTCCTAGTTAATTTTTTTTTTTTTAATTTTGGGTTTGTTTTAAGAAAGGGGACCACCACAGGTATCTGGCAGAAATTGCTGCAGGAAAGGACAGGAAGGAGGCTGCAGAGAACAGCCTCATGGCTTATGAAGCTGCTGGCGATATTGCAATGGCAGAACTTCCACCAACCCATCCTGTTTGCTTAGGTCTTGCCCTCAATTTTTCCGTATTCTGCTGTGAAATTCTGACTTCCCCTGACCATCCCTGGAGGTTAGTTGTGGTGAACAACGAAAGCGCTCCATGTGACAGTGAAGGATAGCTCTTTGGGCTTTCCCTCTTGTTTCTTGGGACTGCCTTTGTAGGCTTGGCCATGGAGTAATTCTTTTCCCTCTTACTGGAACTGCTTTGGACAGTAGTAAAACGATCTCACTCCACTAGCACAGCAGTCAGGGTAATTATTTTGATGTGGGATACTTTTGTTGTTGGTAGATTGAAAAGAAATTTAACGAGTTAAAGTGAGTAGAGGAAGGAAATGAGAGGAATTATAATAGAATGATCTTAATTTTTGTATATTAGTTTTCATTCTTTATGGGCATGTTTTTAATAGTTATTAAAACATGCCAAACATCATTTTGTATTTTC